GCTGATGAACATTTGTTGCCGCCTGCATGATTTAAATTGCAAGTCTCTGCAAATGATGTTTGCTCGTTGAAAATATTGTCAAGGTGGCTTAATGGGTCATAATTGCACGTATTGTCTCTGCAGGGGGGGCGGGGGGGGGATCACTGATGTGCAGCTGACTTTACCCAACTTTAACCCATCAGTGTCGATTGCCGCAGCCTGAAAGTAACAATTCTGTCGCAACAGATGAAATGTCTCCTTTGAGGTTGATGTCACACATGATTCACGACTGGAGATTTATTTATTTTTTTTTTTGGAGGGAGTGGGGGGGGGGGTTCACTTTGATGGGTCTCATCATTTGCCCGCATGTTGTCTGGCAGCGGCTCAAAGCAGCGGAGTTGACAGAAGGTAATCCTCGCCATGTGAGGCCTCGGCCCCGCTGTGCAGGAGGCGGGGTGTGCATCATTGAGACCTGTGGCTGCTATAAAAAGAGGGGAAGTTGCAAGTCACCCAACTTGAAGCCGGCACACATTTTTTAGGGGGGTTGGCGGGAGGGGGGGGTGGGCGCATGATGAACACCATGAAGGCCGTCAAGAACGCGCTGGTGTGCCTGGTGCTTCTGCCCCGCTTCCTGCTGGCCGCGCTCATGTTTTGGCTCCTCGACTTTCTGTGCATCCGGAGGAGGTTTTTCCTCCGGATGAAAGAGCGGGAGGAGAGCGACACCATGGACCCTCCTCTGTGCATCTCCGACTCCAACCGCTTCTTCACGCTGGACTCCCTCAAGGCGGTGTGGCACGGACACAAGCTGGACCTCCTCAAGGCGGCGCACCTCGGCCGCGGCGCGCCCAACACTGAGGTGGTGCGGCTGGAGGACGAGCGGCGCGGGCGCATCCTGGACTTCGCCCGCGAGAGGAGACCGCTCATCCTCAACTTCGGCAGCTGCACTTGACCCCCCTTCATGGCGCGCCTCAAGGCGTTCCAGGGGCTGGTGCTGGACCACGCCGACATCGCCGACTCGGTGCTGGTGTACATCGAGGAGGCGCACCCGTCGGACGGCTGGGTCAGCACCGACGCGCCCTATCAGATCCCCAAGCACCGCTGCCTGGAGGACCGGCTCCACGCGGCGCAGCTCATGCGCTCCGAGGCGCCCGGGTGCCCGGTGGTAGTCGACGGCATGGAGAACCCCTGCAACGCCGCGTACGGCGCCTACTTCGACAGACTCTACATCCTGCAGGAGGGCAAGATCGTTTACCAGGGGGGCAGGGGACCCGAGGGCTACCGGATCTCCGAGCTCAGAGACTGGCTGCAGCGGTACCGGGAAAAGCTGGTGCGAGGCAGCAGTCTGGTCATTCATGTGTAGACGCACGTAGAGCTGCTAGGAAACAACTGAAATGCTGCAAATTCGGGGTAGAAAAACTCCTCTTCAATCCTACTGTAGTATTTTGTTTGTGTGTGAGTCTCCCTCCACGCCGTTTTTTTTTATTGGAATATACTGTACCGGCAAAAAAAACGAGGTTAGTTTGCGTTTGACTCGCGATGTGGACAAGTGCGCGTCACTGCATGCGCTCCTCGGTATTGTTGTGAAGTTCGGTTCTGAAACGGCGTACGTCCGGAGAACCGGTACTGATGTATGTGATCCTGAGGAGCTTCGATTGCTGCTCTCTTGTCCATATCACTTTTTTTTTTTGTATATATAGACCGTTTGTGTGTACGTGCGTATGTGTGCTTTTATGCGTATATTTTTTCATTCAATAAAATGTCTTCATCTACCTCTACGCACTGTTGCTCATTCTTGCTATGAATAGCTGTTTTCTTTTTCTTGACGTCAAGCTGCTGGTTCTAACACGCCACTTTGTATTTATAGAAACTAATGTTTTGTTTGGATTGTTCTTTTTTTTTTTTTTTTTGGCATAAGGAAACAAAACAACGAGTCCTCAATTTCCTGCACCATGAGACAAAACAGGTCTATGCATGCATTTCTGTGGAAATGTTCCTTACCAGGGGCACTTATTGGAGTTATTTGTTGAAGTACAGACAACGCAGAAGACTTTTTCATGATGAAAGTAGCATTTTTTGGGAGGAGGGGGGAATACACTGGTGTATTTTTAAATGTCTCAAATAGCAAATATGTCTGCAGTACAACTAATCAACATAAAAGAAATAATACATCATTAATATGTATTGATAACTGCACATTTAAACTATTGAGAAATAATTTTAATATTCTGAAATAAATGTATTTGAATTAAATATGTTTTTAAATAGTTAACCATTTTAAAATATGTATTTTCTAATCAATTCATGTGAAATTAATTTTTTTCAATCAACACTGACTTTTGCTGTTACTTAATCAATACATATTTTACACACATAAATATACAGAAACAAATACACATATTTTCAGGATAAACACTTTCTCATATTCACATTTTTTACAAATATTCTCAAATGTTTTCAAATAATGTGCATGCATTAAAAGAAATGCATTGTTTTTCAAAGTGACATTTTTAAAAAATAAATTAGTGTTCTGAAATATATGAATGCACCATTCTTAATAAATACATATTCTGTGTTTTATTACAACATATTCCAAAACAATACTGTGTCAAGAAATCAATCTTGAGCTTTCCTTTTATCAAACAGACTTCTTTTGGAAGGGGTGATTGTTTCTTCGTGAGACGTGCCCCTAATATTTTGGCCCTCTCAAGATAAGTCGAATAAACTTCCCAGAATACAAGAACACCCATGAGACAGTGCAAACCACACATGAATGAATATCTCACAACTGAGCATTGTTATCTTTGTAAACGCTTCTCCTCTGCACTGTGCAGGAGTACCTAATGTATATTTGCAGCGAACAAGTCACATTCTCCTAAGCCTTTGTACCACTTACAACTGAATCCGTATAATCACACATGATCCCATTAATGTGAGAGATATATTGACACAAATGTATCGGAGACTTTACTGATTTAACCCCTAACTCCCATCCCCCCTCCTCTCCGCACATACACACACACTGGCCACCAGCAGCACCTCCTAGATCAGCATCAAGTTGTTGAAATGTTAATTAGCCTGCTGCACACGGCGCCTGTCTTGTGTTTCACGCACATTCTCAAGTCGCTTGAGGTTTGACACGAATCAGGCTCCTGAGGTTTAAAAACATCTGCGTTGGTGTTCAATTCAAACAGTAACTCAAAACAATCCTGTCTTTGGCGTCTCCCACAAACCAAACGCATTACTCCATAAACCAGAACATAGTCCATGTCGTTGAGCGTAAGCTAAGGTGAAAAGAAACTGTCCAAATTACGAAAACCACATCATGGTTTGATGTCAGTTTATGCAATCAGCGATGTGTGTTGTGACAAGAACAAGGCAGATGACATTGAATGGCCTTAATTGCAAAGCAGAAGTGGCAAAAGGGCTCAGTAGAAGTACAGAAATGTGTGAAAAGGACTGTTGTAAAAGTAGAAGCACTGATTCAACTTTTGTACTTTATTAAAAAATAACAAATAAACCAAAAAAGTATCGACTCTGAAATGAAGTTCAGTACAAAAGTTAAAAGGATTGGGTTTTTTTTTTTTTTTCCACCGTAAATTATACAATACCGGTTTTGGTAATTTAACACAAAACCAAAATTCTCACACACGCGCGCACGCATGCACACACGCACACACGCACACAGAGCAAAGAGTTTTCTTCTTTTGCTGAGGAGAAGAAAAACAGAAAACAAGCCTATACTATTGGATAGAATGTATGGATATCTATTTTCAAATGTAATAAGATAAATAAGAGTTTCTGTCCTATAAATGACATATCTTGCACAATTTGTAATTTCAGTTTCAAAGCACAGAGTGCCGGATTTATGTTTGTTTGAATGACCACATTGTTTCCTGTGACAGTTTTGATCATCGACAGTGCCGCTCTCTGTGACCAACCAGAAAGTCGATGAATCACTTGCTTCTTCTTTTCTTTTTTTCCCCAAACAGCGGTGTCATAAACAACAAGGCCTACTCAGTAGCTTAAATCATATTTGTGTTGGAAGCAAAAGATGACATCAGATGATGGGACCGTAACATATTTGAGTCAGATGTTGAAAACAGAAAATAAATGTGTTTAAAAAATGAAATTCAATGGAAAAAAAACAAAACAATTGCGATATATTTTTGTTCAAACAAAATGTGGTGTGTGGCAGTTTCAAGAATCAGTAGTGTGTACAACGATGAAAATGACAAAGTATAGATTGTTCTGCAGAATCCTGCGAACGAACTAACTAGACAGCTAAATACCTGTAACTACTAGCTACCTAATTTGCACACTACTACATTATTGTAGTGGTGTAAATCAAAACCAATCAAAATAAAAAACAAAAACAAGATAACTAATAACTAGCTACCCAACTTGTTAACATCAGAACTAAAAAAACAAGCTGCTCAATTAAATCACAAACTAGCTAGACTAGACTAAATTTTCATAACTAGCTTGCTGTCTACTCATGAACTAAAATTTAATAAAAATACCATAATAATCCTGTTTATTATCTTACTAACTTACTCTTTTTGCTGACCTGCTAAATGGATATCATCACTTAATGAATAACAACATTGCCTGCTAATTAGTAACTTACTAACTAGACAACTATATTTGTTACTACTGAGCTGCTGTACTTGTAGAATACTAACCTTTTGTTCACAAATTTACTCACTTAATTAGTCTTTTTTTTTTTTTTTGCTTACTTGCTCACTAGCTAGCGAATGAACTGCAGAGCTAAATTACAAAGTTTTGCTAGCACGATAACTAACCATCTAACTTGCTAACATGGTTGCTTACTTTTTTAAAAGGAAACTAGAGATGTTGTTTTCTTAGATAATGAAAAGCCACCTAATTTGGTAACTAGAATCCGAAATGGCTAGTAAGGTTGCGAGCTTACTCTTTTTGCTAACAAGCTTAAATTAATATCCACACAACTTGCTGACTGAATAACTAAGTTGTTTGCGAAATAACCAATGACTAGCTGGCTAACTTGTAAACTTATTTAGCTTTTTCCCTGACAAAAGTCACTAGCTATTACTGTCACTTTTTTGCTACATTACTAGGTAGCAAACTTGCTGACTGGACACAATCGTTTTGTTGACTAGATTACTAAATGACTGACTTTTTTGGAGTCATGAAATTACTTAGTGAAAACCTATCTAACCTCTTGCTAATTTACTAACTCTCTACCTCACTTGCCAACCAGCTAACGAAGTGACCTATTTTTGTTTGTTTGTGTAATTGTTTTGTTTTTTTTCCCAAGTGATCGTCCTCGCCATGTAACACATTAAGTAATTAAAAACATGGACAAAAACATGATGGCTTGTGTTTAGACGCTTAACCCTCGGTAATGAAGTAAATGTTTCAATTTGTGTTTGATGCCGTCTGAGTGTGAGTAAAGTGTCCCGACTGCACTGCTCATCTGGAAATCATTTGAAGTGCTGGGAACAGACAGTTGAGAGTGGGGTGCCAACCTAAGACGAAGAATACAGTAACTCGATCCAATGTGTGCACCCCTCAAAGGAAAGCACTCTGGATTCTTTCCATGTGCATGTTGCACCCACGCATGTTGGGTCTCATCCGTCACGCCAACGGGTCAAGGGTTAACGTGTGCAGCTCCGTTTTGACTTGTAGGCTATACTCGGCAAGGAGCTGAGCCATTTGATGGAGAGGGCCCCTCTCGAGCCTCCAGAGATCATAAGTAGACACATGAAAGTGTGTGGCGGGGGACCCTGGGCCCCGCCACACAAAGCTCTCTGTGTACATGTTAACGGTTAAACACATTCCTAATGCTCCTCCTTCACAGTACATGGAAAACACCCTGAATGAGACCCCCGAGAAACATGTTCTGATTTGTGGTAAGGTCAGTCCGCCATATCGGGCGAGGAAGTGCTTTGACGCATTTTGCCGAATGCAGAAGTAGGCTGCACATAATGTATACTGGGTTGCCAGGTGAGCATGTTTGAGTTGGTGACTTTAATTGGTTTGTGGTTTTTCAGTTCAGTGGCATTTGACCACATCGCTCGGTGTACGGCGGGCCTGACACCTTTAATTAAAACGTTTACCAGCTTGTGTGTTGCATCATTTGTTACTGATATCTCACCTTTCGCTTGAAGAACCTAGCTTTAATCCTGTATTACGTACACAGGGTTCATAACCTCAGGTTTAACACCAGACCTAACTTTCAACTTACACCAAAACCGACTAGAAACCTAACCTCACTATGTCAATTCCTGACTCATTCCCGACCTCGATAAATAGCCAATACTCTCAGTGAAAAAAAAATGTAAACATGAGTTGAATTTAAAAAAAAAAAACTGAAGTCATCTGTGAAACGTAATGTTTCTGCTGATGTAAATCATTCATTTAATGTAGTCAGATTTTTTTTTCTGTAAACTAATTTCCAACCAATTATTTCAATCATTTGTCTGGCTTTCAAACTTTAT